TCCTCTCAGCCCTGCAGCAAGACAAGAGCTCCACAAGGTGAAGGGTAATGCCCAGCTCTCTGCCACTTCTTTTTTTCCATCTCTGGCAGGGGTGAGCCATCCAAAATGACTCTGTTTGCTCAGTCCATGAGTGCTGAGAGCTCTCTGAAGGCTGTGGCACAGATCAGCTGCACGAATCCTCTGATGTGGGCACAGCTCAGCAGCAATCCCACTGCTCAGCCCACTCAATTACCCCGCTGCGGTCCAAAATTATTGTAACTCATTGTTCTGGATTGGACTTAAACCGAGCGATTTGAGGCCCATTTCCACTCCATTAAATTGTGCAATAATAAGATAATCCTTGTTTAAAAAAAATGTTAATGGATAAGTTTTGTTCCAAATCTGGGTCAGCACTTTTGGGGCTTTTTGAAGAACTTGGTGAAATTCTCGAGCTAATCCTTTTTCACTGGAGTATATCAAGTGCTAATAGAGCAGAGTGCAGTGAGTAAACTCTTCCTGCTGCTGCACACATCAAAATCAAGGCTCTCAAGACCACTGTTAGGTGATGAGACAAAGCAGGAATGAGCAGGAGGCACAGGTCAGAGATGGATGAGGAGAGAATCAGATAAGAGCAACTTAAAAACAGCACGGGGCTTGGTGGAAATTGAAATAGTTGTGTAATACAGAAAAGTAAATTAGATAAAGTACAAAATACTCCAGATATAAATATGTTCATGTGAAGAATCAGAAAGAAGAATCAGATTTTTCCTGCGGTCTGTCACTAGCATGTCACCTGGAGGTACGAATGGCCAGCCTTGCAGCCAGGCCTGTTATTACACCTTTTATTGTTGCCTCAGAGTTGATTTTTTTTTTTTTTTCCTGTTTGATTTAATCCATCTGGTGCAGGATGAAGTGGCCAATAACTAACCTGTGCAGGAAAATCTACATTTAATTGCTTATTTCTAATCTATCCTGCTGCAGCATTCTATTACTGTGAATCCTAACAATTATTAAATTTGGCATGGGTGTGGAACAGTGGTTATTCAATGCTTTATGATGGAATTACCATATAAATACAATACAAACAGCTGCAATGGATTGTGTTCCTGGATTCTCTGAGAGCCTTGTGCAATTTTAAATGGGGAAAGGGAAAAAAGGGGCAGCAGCAGTGTGGAAGTGACCTGWTTGTCGTGGTACATTTATTATAAAGGCAAAAGGAATCCCTCTGTGCAAAGCCCCTTGTTTCCTTTCAGTGCACGAGGATCCAGAGCAGCCTTGCACTTCTGGAAGTGTTGAATTTCACAAATAATCAGAAGTTTCAGCTGCAATGCAGCTCCCGGGTGCACAGGGGGTAATCTTAGAGCCCTGAGATATTGGCTTAAACCGCCATCAAAGTTTCCACTATTTTTTTCCCAGACAGCAGGGCACCTGGAAATCCCAAAGCTGTATTTTTGAGATGCTCCCTGTGTCAGAGAAAACCTCTGGGCTGGCTGAGTCCCCTCACAGCTTGGCTTTGCAAGAGGCAGCTGTGAAATCTGGCAGCTCCAGGGACCCTCTTTGGCAGGAAGGATCCAGAGATGCCTGCTGCAAGCTGATTAAACACCAGCAGCTCTGCAGTGTCATGGTCATCACATATCCCAGCTTCTCAACTGCCATTTGGAGAAGGAGGAGAAGAAATGGGGGATTTTTTTTTCTGATTTGTGGAAAATTGAGGAGCATCTTTGCACATTTGGAGCACAAAGCAGGGGCCACTCAGCTCCGGGCTGGGCTGTGTGAGGGTCACTCCTGTTCTGGRATAAACGGATGGGATGGAGCAGTTCCTCAAGGCTGTGCTCCATCCTGCAGCTCCTCAGGCAGGAGAGCAGCATTTCCTGTCTCTAGAGAGACACATCTGATGAATTTTTTTCCCTGTTCATCCATCTCTTCCCATTCWCAAACCACCACAGATCATTCTGTTTGCCGTATCATTTCCTCCCAAGGTCTATTAAATCATCTGCCACGACTGGAGATGGCTCTGTCCATCACTCCACTGTGGTCTGGCTGCAATAGCACAATTATAATATTGGGATTTATTTTGTCCAGCTCATGAATATTTTTTTTTTAATTATCACAGTTTTACAGCCAGTTTTAGACATCTTAAAATATGAGTTTCCACTTCAAAAGTATCTCACTCACACTCTACCATATGACCCCATTTTAAAACTGAGTGAGCAGAGAATATGAAAAGCACTGTGTGCAATTGTCCACTGCACTTCCAGAATCACTGCCCTGTCTGTTCCATATCTAAGAGCCTCTGGTTATAAAAAGATGCTTTTAAGTTGCTTATCCTGTATGTTCTCATTCTTATCTCCAAGCTTTGACCTTTTATTTTTTTACTTTTTACCTTTGCAATAAAGCCTGTTGGCAGCAGTCTATTCTTTCCCATTTCAGGCTTTTGTACACTTGGCCTCACTGAGATTTCTCTTGAAATACAAACGCCAGTGTTGAATGTTAACTCCTTGCCCTRACTCTGAAAATCCTTTTGTTTCCTGTGCTGTTGCACTCAAAGGACTGCACACAATGGTGAAAGTGCCTCTGACTGCCCAAAATAAGAT